ATAATAAGCTATGGCACAACATAGGTATACTTTCCAAAGTTAAAATGACAAGCATTCAATTGTATACTTAGCCCTCGGTTAGACATATGCACATATATACATGTAAGTTTAAACTGCCTTCGTGTGCTGTTGAATCAACTAGCATACACGAACTTGGCTATAGTAATGTGAGAACAGCGTTAGATTATTTGAAAGCAAGGCAAGTACACGTGGTTTACGTTTAAACCAATGCAGAATTAACCCACAAGACTATGTTTGTATTAGCAAAGAATAGATAAATAACATCGGACGCCAGCAGTAATTAACCGGTGATCACAGATAATTTTCAGTTACTTACACTATACTGACAGTCAAGTCAAATGATAATGAAGCTGGAGGTTGAAAAAATGTAAACATGGAGATATTATAACGTTTCACACATATCTAATCAAATGTATATTTTATAACTTGCAGTGAACATGAAATAACTTTCCAATATCAAGTAACAAAACAATGTCGAAGCATAATTGTCTGTAAAATCAGAACAGTACAAGAAGGTATTAATAAACAATCACTAAGATAGTTACAAATACTCTCTTTGTCATAAACATTAAATTGTTAAATTTGAAGGTGAACCAATTTCCTCCACAGATAATCAAGACAATCTGGCACTTTTCTCATTTCCAATCAATGTAACACGAATGCTTGAATGTCGTAAATGTGTTAGTTGAACTATCACATTAGTAATAGCATAACACTTCAAAAATTTTCACTTGGTAACTAATAACCAAATTTGATATAAAAAGTTGTTACATGGTCTTGGTAACATTTTCTCAAATTAATTGTGCTGGTCTTTTTTATTGATTACAGATTACAAAATAGGAAATAAGTGTTTTAGAAATGGCGTCGTCTCCACAAGGTATATACACTGGCCTCAAGACCAAAATGAAAAATGCATATTACACCGACAACATGGTCAATAATCTCGAGAACTTCAGAGCTGAGGCTTCAACCTTTCTATCTGGTCCAGGTGAATATCAAGACCTTTCCTTTCTAAAGATATGTGAGAATTTGGAAGGAAACGGAGATATTGGCTGGAATAAGCTCGAGAATCTAAAAACACTCGTACAAAGTACGACTGGAGGAAAAAAGCAACTTCTTGATATGATCAACGATGCTGAAAGAGAAATACAGCCGAGTTTGCCAGGTAATTATTTTTTACATTTTATTCCCATTATAATAAGTCTAGAATTGGTAGCACAATACTAACTTGTATAGGGATATATACCAATAGGTTGTAGGATGAGTTTTAAATTGAAAATTGAAAAGAGATCAATGAAATTCCCCAGTTCCAACACAGACTTGTCATATGCTAGTTTTTATTTCTGTTTGTATACGCCCATCAAAACATTAGAAATCTGCCAGTAAGTAATGAACAATATAAATATCCTTTGTTTTGATAGTGTCAGATGAATCGGTTATTGGATCAAAGGAGTAATTTTATTTATATTTTCTTGGTTTGAAATATATACAAAGGGAGACATTTCCAATAAAAAAAACCAATAGTGTATAGGTCATAAAGGATATATTCCTTCAGCAAAAGCTGGTCATTGTACAATATATATTTAAAATGTTTCATTTGTAACATGAGTACAGTATATTTTCTCCTTTAACCGCAAATTCCAAAAAGAGTTCTCAACTTCAATGAGAACAAATATAGTACAAATGCTTCTCCTTACATTTTTATATTGTCATACATTTAGATACAATAATGCATCAAAAAGATTTTTAAGAATGTCCGATAGATTTGTTCCGCCTCACGGTTTTGTTTAAACGTGTAATGCTAGTTTTCGTGTCGGTCAAAAGTCCTGATACACTTTTGGAGTTTTTTTTGTAAATGAAAGTTTGTAAAATGGTTTTTAAAAAAAAAATTAATACAGAAATGTACGTTTTGTTTCATTTGCTTCTTACAATTTTTTTTTTTCTGTTTATGAGATATGGAAATTGCTTGTATTGGATGTGATGAAAAATAATTATTCAGAGTTTCAGGGTTTATCCTGAAAAAAACCCCAAATTACTCACTACTAGAACGTTGAAAAAATCGAAAGAGCAACCCCAGGTGTAGGTGACCACTCGTTTTAATCAATTGCGAGCGTTCTGTAATTTGTTTTTTTCAACAAATCCCGAAGATCATTGTATGTTTAACAATTTTTCCTCCATAGATAGATAGATAGATATCTTTATTTCCCTTCATTATCATGAAGATTATGAACATATATACATACAATCAAACATTTAGAATTATGAAGTCCTTCTCATGGTCGCCTGTGTGTTACCATGCTGAAACAAAATTGTATTTTTTTTTCTCCATTAAATGTAGGTGGTTTCAAGTATTATACTGATGATCATATACAATCTAAATAACACCTTAGTGAGATTGTTTTCAAACCTATATTCATCAAAATCCGTCATCTTTTAAGGATTATGCATAATTTAATTTTATAAAAACGAGTTCTGCTGCTTCTGGGAAAAATTTAACGGTTGGTGTGACCATTTCAGAGAAGTAATTTAGTTTGTTGACTGCAAAGACATAAAACAACCATATACTGTTTCTACATAAACACTTGAAATTCTAAAAAGAAATGTAAAACAAGTAAACATAGTTTTCGAAAACAGGTTCAGCGAGATGGTTGCCACCGAAGAGCGATGCACAGAAACTGGAATTAAGAGGTATGTGTACCAAATATAAACGTATACAATTGTTACGGTTGTTTTCATACCTTGGAAGTAAATACACTGTTTTAGCTCGTCCGGTCCGTAGTGGCGCTGGATCCGTACGTTGGTCTTCTGTCTGCGTTCTTCTTTAAACCAATTCGTTTTTTTAATAAACCATAATTAATGTCTCATTTGCAAATTATGTGAAATCTTCCAAATCAAATGAGCTGTATAGTGATGATAATTGTACTATGGTGTTATAAGGACCGTGTTGTCAGTTTTTTAAAACTTTATCTTAACTTTTCAAATGTTTACACTAAAATAAATAAGATAACATTATCAATCTAATGTTAAGATAATTCAACCTGACTTCAGTGTTTATTTCTGATAAGAAAAGGATTAACCTATTCATTGAAATGAATATATAATATTTGGTTCAAAAATCAAATAAATAATATGCATTTCATAAATTAGAACATATTCCTGTGTTATATGTTATGCTATTTTATCTTGTAAACTTTATGCTATTGCAAATATGGCATTGTAGCGTGCCAATATGTGAAAACACGAAAATATATTAAATTCTTTATTTTCTGTGTGGATATTATTTATTATTCAGAATAACTCTTCTGTGGACCATCGCAACTATCAAAGTTACTATCTGTTAATTACTTATTATAAGTAAACTTATGTCAACAATTCTCACTAATGCGATACGCAAATAAGACAACAAAATAGTAAGATTATTTCACTTTTCACGAGTTTGGTTTCACCTGCTAGGGCAAATCATCTCAACCCAATATGTAAACACATGCATAAAAAACAATTCATTAATAACTATGTATTAAATACTTATCATTCCAAGTAACTCGGATGTGAACAATTCCCACTAATTAGATAGACTTATTAGCCTAAATAAACAAAGATATTTTTTTCTCACTTTTCAAGAATTGGGTTGCACCTGCTAGGACAGAGTATATCAACCCAATATGTGAAAACATGGACAAATGTTCTAAATTCCTTAGTTACTATAGGTTAATTACTTATTATTCAAAGTAACTCGAATGTGAACGATTCCCACGAATTCGATACACTTATTAGCCAAAATATACAAAGTTATTTTTTTTCACTTTTGACGAATTGGGTTGCACCTGCTGGGACAGATTATATCAACCCAATATGTAAAAACAGGAAAAAACGTTTTAAAATTCTTAGTTACTAACTGTTAATTACTTCTTATTCAAAACTCTATGTGAACAACTCCCGCTTATCAGATTTTTTTTTCAATTTTCACGAATTGGGTTGCACCTGCTAGAGCAAAGCATATCAGCCCAATTTGTAAAAACATGCTCTTTCTTTATCAAATTCATTAAATACAATGTGTTTAATGCTTATCATTCAAAGTAACACTAACGTGAATACGAATTGGGTTGAACCTGCTAGGGCAAATCATATCAACCGAATATTTAGGATTATGTTTAATTTTACAATGCGTGTTACACAGCATTACAGTGACCATTAAACTATCAAGAATGGGTTTAGCTTCCAGGTAACAGAACAGGTTAATAACATGTTTATGATTGACCGGAGTTTATCTGACCTGTGCCTTACAAAGAGAGTTGATATGTGATACCGTATGACCGTTATGAAAGCACAACTGGACGTTGAGTATTTGTTATCTGCATTCGTTTTGGTCTGTAGCACCCCTTCACCTGGATTTTCACACCTTGGCGGGTTACGTAAGTGCCCCGGGTGTGGGAAACTACGGTCCAAGTTCAGATACAAAATGGCTATGTAAAGTACCTGTATACGTGACCGTGTCAATACGTGTATGTGCTATTTTACTTGTGTTGATTTGGGTCGTTTTATACACACCGAAAAAAACCCATTTCTAAACTTAGAAAATATAGATAAAAAATCTGCTGATATCTGTAGCTAGAATATATAGATATATATTTAAAAATCAAGTTTATATGTTAAAACACGAGGCCGTATTTTTTAAGCCATTTCTCAATTTACATCAACCACGATTGTCATCGCACAACGTTCGTCCACCGTCCGCACAAATGTGCGCAAGCAATAATCGTCTAGATTTCAATCGTTCGCACATCGTGCATACATCGTGCACACTCCGTGCGCACATCGCATGCACACCTCACATCGTGTAACGTTGTGCGTTCCCACAACTGTATGGTTTTTTTTCACGAATTGGGTTACACCTGCTAGGGCAAATCATATCAAACCAATTTGTGAAAAACATGTCAAATGCTTTTTTGGGTAACATTGTGTTAATTACTTATTATGCATTATCATTGACGAACTGCTATTTGCGATATATCTTGTAAAGGATTTTTTAATTTCTATTTTTTATTTATCTATTTTGATCAAATTTGCTAGGTATCAAATACAAGATGTATACAGGGGTTTGATGGGTAACCAAATCCCTGCTTATTTAATGAAGCTGCTGCATTCAGATGTAATTGATTGTTTTGCACACAATATCTTATGACAGTGATTGGTATTTGTTAGACCACAAACATGTGTAACGCATTTAATAACCAATACTTTAAAATCAAAACATTAATTGAGGATTCTGCTCAAAGAATGTGAGGTTGTTTTTTTCTAGATTGGATGGGGATGCTTTTTATAGGTTGATAACTTTAGGCTAGGTAGGTAATTTTGAAGAATAGCATTTCATTATTAGAATTGTAAGGAAATTTGGACTTCCTTTTTCAGTTTTAAGGCCTGGTTTCTCCAAATAATAAAGTGATGTTCATAGAATTATATTTGATAAGTTCAGTGTCTGAGAGGAATCAAATGTACTGTAGAGTTAACAAAAACAGACTGGTGGTTCAAATTTCATACTCCTGAACTCAAGGTTCATATTATCAACATTTTAAGTGTGATGTTAAAGAATGGTGTTCTGTGTATGTTCTTGTATCTTATTTTAAGTGTAATGTCAAATAACAGTAGTGTGTGTGTACCTATCTATAATTTCAAATGACAAGCTGAAATCAATTCATGAAGTGATTGGTGGGCGTTTGGCTGGTTTTTGTGGTAGTCAAATATGTGTTTATGGGTAGTGTGAGGTTTTTAGCAATGCATATAAGGGCTGTACTTTGATAAAACTGAACGTCGAGATGTATTTTATTGGGTCAAGTAGAAACAGACAGACATTGTATGTTTTCAAACACACTGTGATAAAAAGGTAGAAAAGATTTGGGAAAGGGAATGGGGATTTGAATGTATATTTAGCAACTTTTATGAAAGATCAGCGGTTGTGGCAATTTTTCTGAGAAATACGTTTAAATGCACAATACATGGTAGTAGAATTGACAATTCAGGGAGGTTTATCATTATAGATGTTACAATTGATAATTGCCTAACTCTAGCTAGTATATATTGACCAAACCAGGGTAGCTCAGACTTATTTATGAATTTACTTAATACTTTGAAAGTATTCAACAATTCTACTTTAATAGTATGTAGTGACTGGAATGCTGTATAAGCCAGATACATAGACACAAAAAAAAACACTATTAGACATGATAATAATCAAAGAGCTCAGGAAACCATCACAGATATAATAGATACTTATGAACTTGTTTATTCATGGAGACAGCTTGATCCTGAATTGAGAAATTTCACGTGGAATCGAACAAAAACCATACAACAGATTAGATTAGATATTTTTTGGTCTCAGAAGACTTTTGTTTTCGAACTAAAGACTCAAAGATTATACAGGGATATAAAACAGACCACTCCGGCATTGTTTAAGAAGTTAATTCTAAAAACAATGAAAAAGGGGGAAGGATATTTGAAACATAACACAGCACTGCAGGAGGACACTACATACATACAAAAGGTAAAAAACTACATAACAGAGACAATAAAAGATTATTACGTAGAGGGTGATATGAAAAATATGGAAGACATAGTATTCAGAATTAACGACCAATTGTTCGATTTTAAAAATGAAAAAAAGATCTATCACTATAACATATCCAATAGCACAAACAAAACAAAACAGGAAACTAGAGAAAGATTTAGAGACTACAATATCAACAATAGCAAAAATCCGTTAAAACATGGTAGAAATATTAATGCTTAGGTCAAAAGCAAATTGGTATGGAAATGGGGAGAAAGCGACAATATATTATTGTGATTAAGAAAAAAATCATCAAGTGGATCCAGTCTCTCCATATCTATTTATAAATGAAGTAGAACTTTTTGTCTTTTTCAATTACATTGACTACTGGTATTAAAGGACTAGTTATATCTGGAAACGAGTTTGACCTTGGGGAATATGCTGATGATGCCTATCCTTTACTTGATGGCATTTGTCAGTCTCTGTACACAGTAGCGCATTATCTGGACTAAAGATAACATACGTAAAGAGTATTCACAGGAAAAAATTGGTGAAGATTTGAATCATTAAGGGTCTACATCTAACCTCAGGTTCTCAGGCATTGTTTTTCACTTGAACTTCAAGAAATGGAAAAGTTAAATTTTGAACCTAAACTACAACAAATAAATATATTTTTAAGATAATGGAAATACAGATACCTCAGCTGGTTGGTCGTATTTCACTTGTAATACCAATGTGTGTTCACCTATTTACTTATCCCCCAAATCTAACACAGAAGTTCATCAAAAAGTAAATAAAACTCTCAAAATTTCATATGGAACTTAAATGTGGATTAGAAAAGGTCAAATGGTCAAATATATCAAGGTCAAAAGAATACAAAGATTATATGGAGACCAAAGTGTCCTTTTGAAAGATTTTTTTCTGACAGACTATTTCTGACTTAAACATGACACAATATAGCAACTTAAATCTGACAGGCTATATCTGACTTAAACTTGACACAATTTAGCTGAATTAACCCCGACACACTATAGTTAACTTAAACATGACACAGCATAGGTGACTTAACTCTGACACACTAAAGCTGACTTAACTCTGACATACTATAGCTGACTTAAACTTAACACAATAAAGCTGACTTAAGCCTGACACATTATAGCTGATTCAACTCTGACATTCTATAGCTGACTTAACACGGACACACTATAGCTGACTTAACCGTGACACACTATAGCCGACTTTACTCTGACATACTACAGCTGACTTAAACTTAACACAATATAGCTGACTTAAGCCTGACACATTATAGCTGACTTAAACATGACATAGTATAGCTTACTTAACTCTGACACACAATAGCTGACTTTAATCTGACATACTATTTCTGACTTTAACATAACACTATAGCTGACTTAACTATGGCATACGATAGCATATTTCAATTTGACACACTATAGATGACTAAGCCCTTACACACTACAGCTGACTTAACCCTGACACACTATATCTGACTTAATATTGACACACTATAGCTTACTTAACTTTGACACACTATAGCTGACTTAACCCTGACATACTATAGCTGATTTAACCCTGACACACTATAGCTGACTTAACCCTGACACACTATAACTGACTTAACTATGACATACGATAGCATATTTCAATTTGACACACTATAGCTGACTAGGCCCTTACACACTATAGCTGTCTCAACCCTGACGCACTATAGCTTACTTAATATTGACACACTATAGCTTACTTAACCCTGACACACTATAGCTGACTTACTATTGACACACTATAGCTGATTTAACCAAGACACACTATAGCTGACATAACCCTGACACACTATAGCTGACTTTCATGTTACTATGACATGACCATACACATTCACAAAGGATGCAGCTTGTAACTCAGTGCATATTTTGGAGGCAGAGTAAATGTGTCTTCAAAATAATAAATAAACGCATTCTGAAAATACTTTGAAAGACTAGAGTGAGAATAACAACAAACGGTATCATGAATTTTATTATTGCATTGGTGCGGACCACAACACCCTCATGTTTTCACATATTGGCACGTTACATGGTATATTGCAGCTAACAGGACTTGTGTGCAATTAGTAAAATATACTGTATATTGCAATATTTTTCATAATTTTTGAAACGTCAGTTGGCAATTGTTGGACCATAACTAGTGTCACCATAGACAGGATATCAAAATAGACAGATGGTCGCTATTGACAGGTGGTTATTATATAGACACAGATCAAATGCCAACATCAGGTGCTAAAGACTGAACGCCATTAGGACCTGTCTTGCCTAATTACGCTTTGATCTGCTTTAAGTCGGTATTCATATAGACAATAGCATAATTATGAGAAGTTCTTTTTACACAACCAATAAAATGTTCTATGTGACGTTTCGATGACTAGTACGATATGTACACGTCACCTTCATCAGACAAATGACCAATTAAGCGTATGCACACAAAGGTGTTAAATGTGTTCAAAAGGCTTCTCTGAAACTATCTGGTGGTTTTCACCAATATTTTATAGAAAGAGCATCCGCTGATGAGCTGATGATCTTGGACAAGAAACACAGAATCAAAGTTCATCATATGATGTAAATTCACTTGCGATACAAGGGAGATAACTCTTTTAGGTTTCAAAGAATTTGCGTTTTAAGGCTTAGTCATGAAAATAATTCGCTGTTATAACATTTAAGACAACCAACGGTATCAAATATTCAAATTTTATATCAAATACTAGATACAGACCCGTACACGTTTGCTGTTCCACCTTGGACGCAAACGCTACGGAAGTTCTACTCAAGTGCAACGGATACAGTTCGCAAGTGCTACGCAAACGGTACAGATGTGCTACGCAAACGGTCGATTCGTTTGTGGTGACAAGAACGGGTTTAAAAACGGAAGCATATAAAACATCTAAAAGCAAACGAATATACCTACAATGCATAGGACGAAAGGTCAGTAAACTGTAGGCTACAAAGAGGCACACAAGAATGTTTAAAACTTTGCCACTTCCTTTGGATAATGGAATGAGCGTGAAACAAACAGAAATGTCTCGTGATTTATGAAGATCACAAAGACCTGTCGTACGCTAACAGATCAACGCGACACACAGATAATAATAAATTATGGTCAGAAGTATTTCCACCTGCTTTACCAAATGAAAGATTAATTGATATTGACAGTAAGTAAACTGGTTACGGTTTTGTTTTAACGAGAAACGTAATAATTAATAGGCAAAATAATAAAAAACAAATTGAAAGAATTTCAGACTCCTGTGTTATGGGTGCGATACCTCTATGTCAATTTTTTCCCTATCGTCATACAAACTTCCATACACTTCTGGTTTTCTCGAAGGAGGTTGGAGACCGATAACTTGTTTAATCATTAGTACATGCAAATACGTTCATTGCAAGTTTGAAATTTGTAATATCCTGTCTTATAGGCCTATTAATTAAATATCATTCATTTCGCTTTGAAAATATTCCGCAAAAGTTTCAATAGAACGTTTCACAAACGCGTTTTTAAAAGGAAAGATGTAGACGCAAGTGCTACGGAAACAATACGGAAATGCTACGAAAACGCAACGCAAGTGCTACAGAAAGGGTACGGTAATCGTACGGAAATGCCAATAAATATGTTGAAAGAATATATATCCAACTCCTAAGTTTTGTAACAGTATACTTACTTTGTGAATGCCGAGTGCGGTTCTACGCCATTGGCGTATATATTTGACAAAATATTGATGATTGGGTTATTTAGCAAACGAAACGAGTTGGTGTATACACATTTTATCTGACGGGAAGTTATCTGAAAACCCTTCACGAAAATGTTTTTTTTAAGATTACTCTGCAACTGCTTTGTTCCTCATACTTCACCTAGCTTTCCTAGTTAATTGTTTAAATAATTACGAATCAACCATAACTATATTATAATATTATTGTTAAGCTGAAATAAACTTCATAATGCCACTAATGTGTAATACTAACTTTAATTTCCTGTACCTTGACTGTTCGACTGTTCGAGTAGTTAGGATGGTGTAGTTATACAATATAGTGACATTTATCTTAGTGGATCATTAGTACTCATTATCTTATGTTTTCCCACTGTTTGATTTAAATTATAGAATTTTGGACGAATAATCAAATGTTTAAACTCTTTACGTTAACAGATGAGTCAATTGTTGTGTTAATGGAGAAGGAAGAATATCGAGTAAATGAGGGTGCTACAGCCTACTTAGACTGCTCGGTAGACCCAAAACCGAAACGTGTCATCTGGAAAAAGGGAGACAAAATCCGAGTAGACAAACGAATCCCTATGAACAATAAAAAATACTATTGTTCTGGTCCACCTGACCCAACACTTATTATACGGTCAGCAGAGAAAAAAGACGCGGCTCACTACCAATGTACTGCCAAGGATATTGATACCGCCAATAATATTGAAATAGAAGTTAAAGGCGATACTGTTCTATTAGAAGTGGGTAAGTGCAGACTAGTTATGTCATACAAAATTGAAAAAGGATATTCTCTTTTTTCTGTCAATGTCAAAATGAAATGATTATAACGGCATTCATTTGACAATGTTTTTTTCTGAGTTAAATATAGTAACGGTGAATAAAGCGTTTTGTTTTCTGAAAAATGGATCCGCCAATGCATAGTTCATTTTATCCACTGATGTCATGATAATTACGGAATAAAATGCACACCAATGGACCGTAAATCTGTTGTAAATCAATATTGCACGATTCCGCATGTATTTAGATGAAAGCAGTCAAATATTTAGTTTTTTAGTCGCAAGCCTGATCTGATTGTAAATAAAATACCCTTACCATATGCATAGTATACCCAGTGAAGCATTTGTCAGTAACATTCTGGGCTTTTCTTTGTTTCAAAGTTATGAAATATATGAATGACTTTTCTGTAGAATAACTACAAATTTTAAAAAGTGTTCGAAAATACGATTCTAGTGTGCTATTGCACTGTGTTTACGGTACAGTTTGATCTATAATACCATGAAAGAAAGTAAAGCTGTCTGGCTCGCTTATTGCAAAAACAGTAATAGGTTCTGTTAAATTATCTAAATTGTTGCTTCGAATGAAGATAGGGGACGCTGCATACATCAAACACATCGATCTTTTTCTTCATCAGCGTCAGGAGCAAATGAGTCGGACAGTTACAGAAATGACAGATCGAGATCTCGTTCTCGGGACAGACAGAGGGAATCTCGCAGGTAAAAACCGATTTCTGTTA